CCGAAGGCGGTTGAAAAGATTCTGAGGTGGATTAATAAAATCCCAGAAGAAGTCGCACCGCCTGCAGCTGTGGTACTTGGTTCGTCACAAGCTTCCGTGTCTGCCCGGGTGCAGGTCAAAGCGGGGACATCGTCCGTGGAAACCGCCGAAGAAATGACAGTTGACGATCTCTTGGAACAGAAAAAGAAGATCGAAGAAGCCCTGAACCAGCGAGCTAGGTCACAGGCTAGCTCGACAGCAAATTCATCTCGTGACATCAATTCGAAACGAACAAGGTCACCGACGAAAAGTCCGAAATCAGCTGAGACAACAGGTCAGCAGGCCAAAAAGGCCGCGGTGAGTAAGGAACCACTGAAGGCGCATGAGATGCCGGTACCACTGGGAAAAAAGGTTGTTCAACCAGCGGTACCGACTCAGCCAACTCCTCCAACACTGATTCCACAGACTAAGGCCTACCTGGTAACCTTCCCTGGAACAGATGGGAAAGAAAATAAGGTTTCCGCTCGAATTGAGGACAAAAATACGAACCAAGAGATCCCGTCTTGCACAGACCGGGCTAACAAGGAGTTGAAGAAAAAGATCTCAGCGGCATCACGAAAGGAAGCCGAAGCGGCCTTAGCAACTATTACGAGGGAGGAAGATCGAAGAAATCCGCGAATTCTTATTCAAATGATGAAACGGTTGATTTCAAAGATTGCGGCAAAGGAAAACGCCTGGATCCGAATACGGGTGGGCACGAACGAGGACCACTTGTCATACACGTACACAGCTGAAGGGATGATGTTGGCAGCCGAAAGGAAGCGGTTGAAAAAAGATGATGATGAAACGGGCGGTAAAAAAAAGCTAAATGATGAATATGACACAGGATATCTATATAACGAACCGACTTGTCGGCAGTTTGTCATCGGACTTCATTACACGGCTGATACACCAAGCGCAATGATAGCGGAGGTTGTTGACCCGATCTCGGGAGATTTTATCCCCTTTGCACCGTTGTACATATCAGAAGAAGACATCGCATATGCCAATGAGGAAATGCGAAAGGCACTGGCAGCACTATCCGACCTATTACCGGATCATGTGAAAAGAAACGTAAAAGCCACTATGGAGGCAGTGCTGAGCGTTTTAGGACATCGAACGGAAGCAGATCAGGCTCACCTCAGAGTATCTATAACCCAGGATGATGGATCACTCCGTACGGGTTGTTATGATCATCGTATGACACCTCTTTACGTGACTGACACACCTCGGAAACACATCGAAGCAGCAACGAAACTGGCCGCTAAACAACAGGCTCAGCCCCCGGCAGAGGAAGGTCATGCCGGAGCAGCTGAAGCTGGTGAGGAGATGGAAGCCGATGATGCTCCAGAAGAAGAAGAAGACGCTCTCGAGATGGAAGATGAGCCAATTGACGAAGATAACCCGCGACGATCATTGTCGAGAGTTTTCGAGATCGTCAAAGGAGCTCTACATCAGCACTGCAACGACCCAAACTGTGTTCGCTGTAACCCGCCCGAGGACTCGGAAGAAGACGACGAAACAGTACAAGAAGAATCAGAGGAAGAAGAACCAAAAGCGAGATCGTCGAAGGCAGCTAAAAAGCCCAAGAAGGCTGAAAAGGGCGAAAAGGTGTCTATTAAAACCGAGAAGAAGGAAACTAAAACGAAAAAGGAGAAGGTGGAAACAGATAAAAAGAAAAAGAAGGGACACGAAAAGGAAGAGTCCTCACCCGATATAGATGCGGAAATTGAGTACGACGAGGTAATCGAAATAGACGATAGATCATCGATAACGGAAACACCAAAGAAAATCGTCATCCAATCGGCGACATCGATAACGGAAACACCAAAGAAAATCGTCATCCAATCGGCGACATCAATGAAAACTAAACCCACAAAACCGATCGCGATGAAAAAGGTCGTCCCACTCGGACAAATTATGTCAGCGTCGACTCAGAAAGAACGAAAGGAAAAGTCTCAGAAAGATAAAAAGAAACGCGAAACATCCCGCGATTCGACGACAGCATCGGAGGCTAGCAGTCGTCCAAGCACATCAACGATTGCTTCGAAGTCTCATTCGGTGGGACGAGCTCCACGAAGCAAAACGGCGGAACCGAAGGCTGAGTCGAGCTTGGAAGCAGCGCTAGAAAAACAGAAACAGCTGGCCGCGGAAAAGCAGAAGAAGGGAGCGAAGAAAAGTGGTGAAAAGGTTTCAAAAACTCCAGCGGTGCGACGAATTGACGCCATCGGCATGGCAAATTACGCCAGGACACTCGGTCATAGCGAGCTGGAATATTCTTAACCAGAGAACGAGCCATTTCCTGAATTCGACGAACCGGATGGCGAGGACCTAACAATACCGGAACTGACGGAAATCACGAACAAGATTATAAACCCATGGCGCACGCGCGATTCATCCGTCACGCTGAAATTCCGAAAGGAAGTTAAGAAAAAATTGGAGGAACGTAATCATACCTTCACGCCACGGAAATTCGATGCGCTTAGTGGAGTACGCCTTGAACGTCGGAAAGCTGACCAAAAAACACATCGATTGGGATCTTAAAGCGAAGCTTGTCAGAACGGGCGGATTAGATAAGGTGCTGTTCGAACAGCATGCGGATAATCGAAGGCAGATAGAGCTTCGCATTTTTGCGGGAATGCGAAGCCCAAGTGGATCGACTCGACATCGTATCAGCCAGTACGTCAATGGAATGTGGCATGGTGCAAAGGGCTTGATTGCAGAAATAGAGACAGCGAGTGCAGAGCAGCTAACAAAGGTGCTCAAAGAAGGAAAAGTAATCACCACCAATGCTCACATGGGATCCCCAATCAGATATACCACGTTGAACCTGATACCGGTGGATAAAAATCAAGGGAACCATTACTCCGACAGTGGTGACATGACATTACTGGATATTCCGCAACGAGATAATCCAGATACACCTCTTCTCAATTTCATCCAACAAAAGGGAGACCAGAAGAGAGCTGCCGCGGAAAAGCTTGCAGCAGACAAGCTGAAGAAGAGACCATTGAGAAGGAGAGGCGAAATATATTCATCTACGGATGATGAAGATGGTGGCACAGCAGCTGCTCCCGCAACTTCAGCAGAGATGTTTACGACGGGCCAGGTAGAGGAGAGAAGGAAGGCCGCTCTCCTTACTGATAAGTTGGCAAAACAAGCAGAGGCTGAGCTGGCCGCCATGCGCGAAAGACGAAAGACGTCGGGACTCCCGCTACCTAAGACCAGTGGAGCTGGCAGTAGTGAGTCAAAAGATGACAATAAAGACTTTGTACCCTCCCAGAGCATGAAAACCGACGAACCGAAATCAACGAAATCATCATCGAGTTCAATGGCGAAACTCACAATTGATGAGAAGGAACCTGGCACTAATCCAACTGATTCGGCAGATGTTTCGGACACCGGAGCGAAGTAAGAAGACCGAGAATATATGCTCGGATTACCATTGGATGACGTTAATCCGACTTGGTGGGAACTTAAACGATTCCTGGGAAAACAGCCATATCAGCCAAGGACTAAGAAAGATCTAAAATCGGCCATGTGCGCCAACCGGACTCTAAAACTATCGGGAGTGAGTTTTGAGCGGATGACCAAACGAGCCTATAAAGAATGAAAGTTGGGCTTTTGTTATACGGAAACAAACCAATGGTCATATTACTTGCCACTCTCATTGCGCACTCCTCGGCTGAAGATGGATCTGAAGTTTGGGAAAATCGCTATGACCGATGCGGCGATACCAAGACTCGGCGGAACTAATGGAGTTACTTGGGATGATCTGTCAAACAACTTTGCCGCCAACCACGAGCTGGGCGAGTACAACATCGAAAAAGATCGGGAATGGATCATGAAGGCAGTTGAAAGCCTTGTCGATGAAAACGTTTTGGAGGCCAAAGATAGACGTATTCACTCTAGACCGGAAGAACCGTCAGACGAAACTCTGGAAACGGAAGAAAAAGATCCAGCGGTGGTTATGACGTCCGAAAAACAAGTTTTCCCAACATCCACAGAGCTGGCACCGACTGACACAAAGTCAGCAGAAACCGATCCGAAGCCAACGGAAACTGAACTGAAATCAGCGGAGACTGGGTCAGCTGATCCAGCTGACACATCGCAAAAGGAGTAGCGAATGAGAGATGTGTGGTATGCGGTTAGGAAGGTCCACCGCATATCACAGAAGAATATCATCAGTTCAGATTAACGAAGACGATATGATGGAGTAGCAGTGTTAAGCGTTAAAACCGGATAAATCGACGTAACTTAGCGAACGTGCTAAACCAGATGCGAAACGAGATGTGAAAAGTCCAGTAGTTAGAATAGGCGAACGAGCTTAAGACTTGAGTTAACAGTTACAAAAAGGGCGTCCTGAGCTAGGAAGGTCTCAGCTCAGTACAGGAATAGCCTAATTAGGCGTAAAAGTTTATAAGAAGGACTTCACGAAATGGTTATGAGATGACGAGACGCTATTTGGACATGTTCTAAATTACAGATTGAAGTGAAAGATGGCTCAAAAAGGTCGAACCGCACCGAAAGTCCAGGTGACCAAACAAATCCAAGCCAGATCGACAACTCAAGCGGCACCTTTGGCCGTGAGAAGCCAAGCAGCTTTTGTGCCTGCGAGGAGTCAAGCAGCATCGGCACCCTCGACAAGTCAGGTGACATCTACGCCAGCACCAGCAAAACGTCCTGCGGATCCAGCATCACAGATTGATCGGTTTACGGGCTATAATCCAAATTGTCCGGACTGTATCAAAAACAATAGGGGCGTCAGTGGAAAGTTTCCATGTTGGACCTGTGTGTTCGCGCTACCAGATAACGAACGAACTTTGGTGGCATATACAGAAGCAGCTCGTGGAAACAAGGATGTGTTTCGAAATCTCAATTATACAGACAACTGGAAACCAATCCCACCGAAAGAGAAGATTTTAATTGTAGATCGCTACCGACAAGCGATTCAAAATGGCGAAATCGGTTGGGACGTAACCATGGAACGTCCACAAGATCACACATGCGATGCGTATCGGAAAAAGTTCAATGAGGACATGGAACGGATGATACAAGAAAAGCGGAGTCAAGAGTTGGAGGTTGAAGCTATAGCCAGCCGTAAACGAGCAAAAGAACAAGTCGTGCGCGAAAACCGGGCAAAGTTGGTACAAAAAAGAAAAGCGCCAATACCGGTCTCTCAATTAAATGAAGACGAAGCGAGAGCAAGGGTGCAATCTCTAATCATCCAAATCGACGCGCTGCTGAAGGATCCAGCTGGCATTCGGGAGGACCTGTTCGAAGTTTTCCTGAGCGAAAAAGTGCGACTTGAACGAGGAGAAGCTCCAAAACCGAACACTAAGCTGCTGGTCGAGAAACAGACCGAAGAAATACGAACGTCGTGTCAAAGGGAGCTCAAAGTAATAAAAGCATTTCAAAGCTTCAAACGAGATGAGAACTTCGCACTACCTCGATCACCTGCCAGGCGAAGCGAACGATCGCGAGAATGCTCACGCGAAAGGAATTACGACTTCCGCAATGAAAGATCACGGGAATACCCTCGCGAGCGAACTCGTGACTATCGGAACGAACTAGACGATAGGTCACGTGAACGATCTCGCGACCGAGAACATCGTGGCAGAAGAGCATGGGAACGCCACGGAGATGAAGTCGTTGAAGTCGGCGCTCGGCGCAAACCAGCTGATGACAGCGTAACTATACCAGAGCGACGATCGGAACTACGAAGACCGGAACCTGAAAAAGAAGGTCGTCAGGAACCGATCGGCTGTGCATTCGTTCACCAAAAAGTTAGAGGATTAACACCGGAACGATCTCGAAATCAGAGACGAGATCGCAGGAACAAGAGCCCAAACCCATATGATAAGTCCTGGCAAGAGGATGCAGCATATTACGCGACCTTCGAGCTTCCCCACAAACGGTCATCGAGTGGAGAACGTGAGGACACTCCACCAAAATATCAGCGTATGTTGTCCACAGTTCATGTGGTGGAACCGCTGGTAGTGACGTTACCCGGCGATGCGCTGATGGACACATCGTCATCACAGGAGACCGTGGTCCATAAACGAAATGTAATCCTCGACAGCAATCTTCAACCGTCGACATCGACAAGTAAGGCACCGCCGCGACGCGAGCAGGACGTTCGTCAATTAATCGAAGATCGACGTCAACAAGAGAGTCGACGCGAACCGGACGACGACGAGAATCAGATGATCGTCGCGAAGAGAATAAACCGTCCCGGTTTAACAATCCGCAACGACGTCCCCAATTTATCCGTAAAACGTATAATATGGATTATCTAGAAGAACAACGAGCTGAAATATGTCGATATTTGGGACTTGATGTCGAATCCGAACAGTCAGCAATCATACTTGCTTAAATGCAAAACTTGCGACAGTTTCTAATCGACTCGGACTACGCGGCAGAGATCAAAACGGGCAGACTTGGTTGACTGAAGATCACAACCGAAGCTGCAACCACATATTACACACCGATCAGACATTGTGGTTTGCCAAGTCTGTTGGACCTGAACTTACTGGGAGTTTCGTTGGATACAGTCGATACCACGGGATGGACTCAGTTCGAATATGAAGAATTAAAGGAACGACGGGAATACGTAGCGCAATTTGTGTTACGTCATGTGAACCCGGCATTTAAGGTGTTGGCGGCACGAGCAGCGATCGATCTGGTAGTTGATCCTACCAGCCATGACGCAAGAACGTGGGGTCACAAGATCTTCGCTGCACGACTGGCACATTACCCGTCGATAAATCAGTTACGTTCGGACACATTAAAAAGTAAAAAGCCACCAGTGTTCCGTGAAAAAGCTGCTAAATTACAAGACATCAGGCCTTAGCTCGCAAAGCGAAGGATGACCTAGATGGCAGCACCAACCGACTTGAATACGGTAATCTCCGAGCGATATTCGACACTCAGTATCAGGAGATGCTAGATCGAATTCGAGAAACCATGGACACGCAATATGTTGGACCGAATGATGGTGGTGACGGAGATGAGCCGAACGAGATGATGGATCAGTGAATTCGACTTAGAAGGAGTTGGTACGGCTTAAAGTCGGCTCTCCTATTCCATCGACTCAATGCCCATCTTAAAATGTGAGAATCTACGGTAATCAGCCGGATCTCTTACCGGAGCAGCTACGGTCAAACTTGCCGACTCTCTGTAATAACGATGAGATGTGCGACCAGATGAACTTTACTAGGGAGGCAAGCTGAAATGAGCTTGGAGGCCGACATCGAAAACGGCTAAGTTCCTCCATGACCGTTAATGGAGGATGAATTATTACAATGTCGCACATCCAAATCATCTCAGAGATGATCTCACCAGGGAGGAAGCGAACTACGCTTGTCTATACGACGTCCCTCCATGACCAATATGGATCTCATTCGACTGAAGACGTACAATAGATACGCACCTTATTCAAAAGATGAAGCAGTACGTATTCCTAAGACGTACACTCGATACGCACCTTATTCCAAACTGGATCTCATGTGATGAAGTCGCATTACATATGCGAAGGATGCTCAAGCGGAGCGAAATTGCTCAATGGAGCGGACTGTACCAAAAAGTTCCTAAACGGTGGACAGGATACCTGTGACCTGACAAGTGGCTACGGATTTTGATTATTACTTCTGTTGATCTGTTTTAACTGTTGATAGTATTTTGATACAGATCTCTTTATTTCACATCGTGCATTTGGAATAGATTTGATGTGATTAAATGGAATATGAGATGCTCTTTATTAGCATTTGAGCACACGCAGACCGCCTGCCAACGATTGGACTCGTCGGAGACGGACTTCAGCCTCGGCGGAGCTCGGCATCCCTCCCAGAGGCATGTCAGCGATGGCTGCACTGACGTTCACCCTCACGACCACGGCGCTACGCTGCCGATGACGTGTCTGTGTTGGGTCTCTTATTGGCTGACGGCTAAAGCCGTCCATTGCATTCGCCTAGTGGGCGGCGCCAAAGTGCGCATGCGAAGCAGCAGGATTTGGCTCTTCGCTCAGTAGATTTTATCAGTTGATGAGAGTTGTTCGGAGAGTTGATTTTGACACTCAGTAAAGTGTATCTATGCTAGTGGATGCCGTGCGTTGTGCATTTATCCAGATCATATAGCATATTACGCTACGCATGATCTTGTCAGTGGAGATCTCTGTCCTGGACTCTTCTAGTACCACATTATGGGGGTGTACATGCCGTATTCGACTCTCTCTTGTACGTACGTGTGCTGCTGCACTGCACTCTCCGCTGAAGCGGATGTGCCGCGTGGTCATACACTGAGCCACACTTGCTATCTCGTCCCACTCTCGCCGTGCGACTCAGCGTTCATACGCTTGCGTTGGATAGAGTCCAGTCTGCGCATCATACAGCACGACGCTGCAGCCAGCATTATTTCACGCCTTGGCAAACGGTCAAGAACTTTCTAGCGTGCACGTCTCATGCTTGTCTAAGCAGGAGGGAAATCGTTAGTCTTACACGCTGTATTTTCGTTGCACTGACATGTATCTGTATAAGAACCGATAGCATTTATATGGGATCAACGGAAGTATTGTACATATGCTCCTTCACACCGTTTGAACAAGTATTTCAATAACAAAAGTCCAAGGACTTATTCCCGTTCAGCTAATTTAAATGCAAAATACACATCTTCCTTCTCAACCATGTCGCTAAATGTACCGAGGACAGAAACTGCGTTTCCTCGCTGAATCTCGATACCAATTCTCTGGCGCAGAAACTCTCCTGAGCGTGGGTTGCCCGTACAGTCGCAATTCTTTTTCGATAGGTCTTTGAAGAATTTTCTCGTCAGCGGTCCAAAAGTTCCCGTTGTTTCGAACGCCAGCGGTTGGACGGTGTAGCGGTCTGCCATCCCGCTGTACTTTGCTAACTTGCGGTCTTCCCGTATTTCCGCAACGCTCCCCGGCACCCTCGACGTGTGAGCAATGTATGTTTGGGCGAATGTGTCTGCCACGGTAACATCCCACACTAACGGCTTTCCGTTTTCCATGGGAACGCTGTCACTCCGTCAGGCCGCTTTCCATCGCCTCTGTCTAAGCCCACTGGCTCGAGTGACGATGGCACTTTGCCGAACTCAAAGCCCGCTTGGTTGCTTCATTCAAGACGGCGTGGACACCGTGCCTTCCTTTCGCCAGCTTGCAAATCAGACCATGGTGTCCGAGACTGTCTACGGTACTGCCGCACCGACACACATGCTTCTGACATACTGGAGCTCCCAACCGCCGCGCCACGGCAATTCGTAAGTGGGCATCTTCCAGTAGATTTCCAAATATTTTTACCGGCAAAGCAGACAACCAGGCACGCGATTCCGGTGAGGATGCAGCCAACAAGCGAGCAGAGGTAAATACGTCGGCATTCTTCATCATGCGGGATGCTGTCTGGGTATGTTGCAGTGCTGTCCAGACCGACTGGAGGTGGCGGCTTTCCATCCGCGGGGGTTCCAGGGAAAAACGTCCACTCCACACTTTGGTGAGCTGATTGGCCCTTTCTTTTATAGAGGCGTTGCCCGTAATGCTGTAAACCATGTCGGTCGCTCCGTGAACCGATGCGGAATAGGCAGCTAACGCGACGTCCACTGCACAGATCAGTCCGAGGCCTCCAAATTTTGTAGGTAGCGAGGCTTGTGACCAAACTGAGCTGATCATTGCTACATTGGTCAGCTGTTCTGTTTTCGCTCGGATGACTCCGTGTAGGCAGCACCACTGCACCACGGCGCAAAGTGTTGAAAATCTTTGAAAGACTTTGTCGCTGTATATGAGCCGCTTCTCTCCTTACACCTTTTTAGTGTTTTAACTTCTGTGTTTTCTTCCCGCATATCACGCGGTATTTGCATTCATAGCCTAAAATAGGGTGTATTATTACACAGTTTGTGTAGTTTTAAATGTGCTTTGTGCATTTTTAACTTTCCAAATGTGCAAGATTAAAAAATTAGAAATCCATCGAGAAAAGTTTAGAGGGGTCTTTAGGATTAAAATTTAAAATTTAACCTAAGAATTTCTTGGCCTTTAAAGAGAAAGTTGTTTGTCGGCTTCGCGCTTCGCGCGAAAAGGGCATTATTCTATCCAATCGTTCAACTTCGAGGTCATCGAGCGTTAAGAGTAAACTCACTTCCTCTGTTCAAAATACGTGACTGGTATTCTTAAATTAATTTAGAGTAATTTGAGCAGTTTTGATCAGTTTCCATATTTTGGCACTGACTGTCATCACTTTAAAACTGTGTAAGCAAACATTAGCACAAAAACATAATTGCTTATTTACCGTGAATCTTTGGATTTCCGTGTATTATGCGGTTGTGTTTGTCTTTTTCTCGCAGACTGAGCTCTGGTCAAGTGTGGCATAAATACAAGGCCTTGCGAAATTACTTATCTAGCGTTTTCCTAGCGAAATAGCTCGACAGCTTCGCGCTTCGCGCGAAAAGTTTCCTTAGCCATCATATTCAAAAGTTTACGAAAGAGGACCAGACTTTTATTAAGCATCACATACAAGTACATACTGAGTACTAAAACACAATTCATAACAAAAACACTTCTTCAATGCTATCCTGCTCGGGGATCGTACCCATGACACATAACGCGTTTCCCCGTTGCATTTGAATGGATAGCCGCTGTCTAAAAAACTCTTTTGCCCTTCTGGCCTGTGGCGGAAGCCATGCAGTTGCCGACCTTCCCCACGAGTTTTTTCGTTCCGCCTCCCCAGGGTCCGTAAATTTCCAAGGCGGCAGCTACTAGATTGTATCTTGGTTGTAGCCAGCCGTGTTTTGACAGTTTTCTTCACTCCGCCTGCTCCGCTGCTGCACCGACGCACACGGAAGTACGGTCGATATACAACGCGGCGAGTGGGTCCACGCAGGTTACGTCAATAGCCAGTGGTTTTCCCCGCTCCCACGGGACGAGGGTAATCACATCTGGCCGTTTTTTATCTTTCACGGACAGACCTTTTGGCTCCATTCTGGCCGGAAAACCTGCGGTCTTCAAAGCGCGGGTGAATTCTCCACTGATTCCATCGTGTCGTGGCAGCCTCCCAGCTGACCGTTTGCAACGGAGCCCGTGACGGCCCAGCTCGTCGACCAGACTGCCGCAGACGCACACGTGAGGAGTGACAATAGGAGCTCCCAGACGCAACGCCACACTTATACGGAAGGCGTTGTTATCCAACAGGTTACCAAGGCAGGCTGCGGGCAACGCATGGATCCACACACCGGATTCCGGCGCTGACACCACCTTCAGGTGAGCGACTTCCTCTTTTGAGACCCTTAACGCGGCCAG